ACGTTTACGTCGAGATTTTGGAGTAGTAGTAGTAGTTTTTGTAGAAGATTTTGTAGATGGTTTTGTAGTAGTTGTTTTTGTAGTTGAAGTTGTAGCAGTTGTTGTTGTTGTTGTTGTTGTTGTTGTTGTTGTTGTTGTTGTTGTTGTTGAATTAGTTTTATTTTCATTAAGGATATTGAAATCATCTAATAGTTGAGAATTTTTATTTGTTGAAGTGAATAAAGACTTTTGATCAAAAGCTACAGTAGATTGTAATATATTGTCAACGTCATCATCAGAATCAACTATCGTTATACCTGACATATCATTAGTAGCTATTTTACCGATATTATTAATATTGTCATCATCGGAGGTATTATCGGTTATTATTAAACCAGAAGAAGGAATTTCGATATCATCCCAATTTTCTTCGTCAGATTCTATTTGAGCCAATGGAAATTTTGTAATTTTTAAATTGAGCATTTTTTAATCTAGTTAAAAAATTTTGATTATTTTGAATATATAAAATGAATTTTGAAAAAAAAAGCGACTTTCTTTTTTTTTTAAAAAAAAAAGGGATTTGTAACAATAAGAAATTTTTTGAAAATTCTCAATTTGTATCCGAGAAAAAAAGAAATGATGGAACTTTTTTTATCTTTGTAAAAAAATAATAATTTGTTCCCACCGTGATATCAATTTCCCTGATGATATTATATTCGGAGATGAAATTATGCTAGCAAAATTTAGGAAGAAATGACGTAATGCAAATAAAATATTGTAATTGATGTTTATATGAACAAAATTGTATTAATGAGAGTTAATGAAAGTGAATATTGTTGTAAAGTGAACGAAGGGCGGGTAAAAAATATATGTAATAATAATAAGCAAGATTGCTTGTTGTTTTTTTTTATTTTATTTTATTTTTATTTTTTAATTTTTTTTTTATGAATAATAACGATTTGTTTTTTTTTAAAATGTTTAATTTTGCAATCAATCATCAGTGTTTTTTTTAAAAAAAAACAATTTAGTGAATATATAAATTCGGATATATTTTTTTAATACAGTAATATAGATAATGTAGATAATATAGATAATTAAGATCCATCAGTTAACGACGCATGCCTGTGCGAAAAGAAAGATTTTTTAAGCATACGTTCAGGTCAAAAGAAAGATCGATAGAAGAAAGGTTATGTATTGTTATTTAATTAAGAATTTTAGAATGTCGGTATGATTGTGCGCAAATTTTTTCAGGGGAAGCCACGAGGGCTTACTCTATAAACTCCTTATTTATATTGAAAAAAAACAAATTGGCGGGAGATTTGAACTGAGATTGTGTGGTTTGTGATACATTGGATCACCTTTATGCATTGCCTTATATTACATACACAAAGCTTGTTTTAACTTTTAAAAAAAGACTTTATTATAACCCTTCATGGTTACGATATCAATTTTTGATCATGTTGTTCAATGGTCAAAAACAATAAATCAATCAATGGTAAAAAAAAAAGGTATAAATTTCTATATATAATAATATATGATTCCAAGTGTTTTTAGTGTTTTTTTTTTTTTATGATAATCATTTCTTATTCAGAAATAATACTTTATGTAGTATTTTTTTAAAATAGTGCATAAACGACGAGCATATATGCTATCAGTACAATATAAGTACAATATAAGTACAATATAAAGTACATTATAAAATGCAACCAGATAATTAAGGTAGAACGAATAAGATTAAAATGACATGAGGGAAACGTCATATAAAAACATAAGTTAGGGATAAATAATGGCATAAATATTTTTTTTGTTCATTTTATAAAAAGTTAAAACAATTATCCAAAGAATAAACTGCATAACTTAGAATGTATAATACAGTATATATAACTTATAATAGATATAACATTCGATCATAAGAACATTCTCAATAGTACAAAAAAACATAATTTGTTTTTACGATGCATGTAATGATTTACCACTAAAAAACTTTTATGGACAGAATTTTGCCGTACAAGATTCCTAAATAAACATCCGTTAAATTAACACATGCTAGGTCAAAATGGTGTGTTACACCCACATATGTATGTAAGTTATTAGTAACAGGTAACAATGAATATTAAATGAATACGTATTAAATGAATATTAAATAAATGAATATTCAAGGTAATAAATCTTTGTTGGTTTGCATTAAAACTTAGAATAGAAACGAATTCAATTCGTTCGTTAAATCATTAATTCATACCCCCCTTTATATATCATTTATATATCATTTATATATCATTTATCATTTGTATATCATTTATATCATTTTCATATCGTTTATTATTCACTTTTTTTTCCTTAATTAGAAAAAGTTTTTTAATTGAATAATATTTTTTAATTGAATAATAACAAAAATGTCAATTATATCCCCTCAGGACAACACATTTAAAGAGGGAGTGCATTTATAGTGAACGAACCAGTACGTGCCCTTTGAAAGATTTTATATGATCTATGCAATTGTACATTTAAAAAAGTCCCTCAATACGTATTGCTGTATTGCTGTATTGCTGTATGATTATTATCTGTTATGAATATTACGATATTCAAATTTTACGATATTTTTAAGTGTTTTAAAGTGTTTTACTGTGTATGCACGCTATATGCTCCATTGTTAAATTTATGACCATAGTTTTACAGGTTTAAGAATACTATAAACTTTGGATTGTGAATAAACATACCTTCTGACATCTTTTTTTAGAAAGAGACGGTAACTCTGACTTATCTGCTTATTCGGTTATTACTGTTACAACGTTTATTTTTGGAATTCGTTCGTAAGACCTTTTAAGGACAACGTACGCATCTTTTTTTCTTTATATATATATATATATATATATATAAATACATAGGTGACTGATTTAGACGTACTGTACGGTCAAATAATACAAATTTATCTATACCCCGAATAATATCGGGATTTTATTAAAACATTCATGTGATCGATGAGCAAAAGATATGAATTAAAAAGTTTCGATTTCCAGAGCAATTCATTCTTTGGATTCTCGGATCTTGACTAAGTTTCATGCGCAATCATCATCACATTTGAAAATCCGTCCCAAATCAATAGATTTAAAATATTATTATTACAATTGTTTCTTACTAAATATTCATCCTAAATTTCTTTATAAACAGCTCATAAATTGTTTTGAAAAAATAATGTTTTAAATCTTTATCATTCGTGTTTTCTTTTTCACAAGAAACGAAAAAAAGTCTTTTTTTTATAAAAAAAAAAAAATTGATTTCGAATCATTCGGGTCAAAAGAAACAGATAAAATTCCATACATATTTTATTATCATATTTTATTATCATATTTTATTATCATATTTTATTATAATAGCTCAATTTTTTAATAATAATAAAATATGGGTTCAAGCAAACAAAAACACGACGATAATTTTTGTTTTTGTATAGGGTTAAGATTAGGTTTTATAATTACAAGTTTAGCATGGCTGGTAATTATCTTTTTTTTTTCATAATTAAAAATTAAAAATTATGATGCACTAAAAGTTACGTAAATTAAAAATTAAAATTTGGTGATCGATTGAACCCCTATTAAAAATTCCTTTTTTTTTACAATTATACTTATTTATCAATGACTATTAAAAGCCTGTTAACAATTACTATGATATACTTAACTTTAGTGCATTTTTGTAATGAATTTTTTACATGCTAAAGCTTTATATTATAATTATTATTAGATAGAGGGATCTGCTTTTGCAGTTTTATTCCGCATAGCTTGGACTAGTGACGAGGACAATATCGACGGTAGGTCTAGCTTAATATTTATTGTGGCTTCTCTTATTCCATCTAAAATTATTAATCAGTATTCTTTAATTTATAGTATTAATCAAACCATTGGGCATTATAATTATCCTTTTTTGTTATTCCATTATGCTCTTTTTATTAAGTGTATTTGGTCTTGTTTCTTATTATGTATATGTACGCATCTTTTTTCTTACATTAAAATATTGTATACCAATTCCGCAAGCTTATTGTAATTTTTCTTTTTTAGAAATCATCATCAGCCTTGCGATTATATAAATATGCCGCTTGGTTAATCGCTGTATTTATAAACACTGTGTTAGTAATTGTAACTGTGATCTCCATCGCGTACTCAAAAAGACAACCTAACGAAGATGAATATGAGGCAAATTCATACATCGTTGGGTTTGTTGTGTTTGCTGTTATTCAAATTGTTTTTCATGTAAATATAAATCTTTTTTTCCCTTACATTTTGTTTTATTATTATTATTATAAAAAATAATCTAACTAAATGGTTACTTTTTCATTAAAGATTTACTTTACAATTATACTTCAAGCATTTGTGCATCGCTATGAAAAATTCGAGAGACGCCAACACAAATCTCACGCGCAGCCGACATTTTCGAACATTGATAACATATAATTATATTTATATATATATATTTATATATATTTAATTTAATGTCTTAAATATATATTATATACAGTATTATATACAGTATTATATACTATATATATACTATATATATACTATATATATATATATATATATTGGTTTTTTTTTTTTTTTTTTTTTATGTTCAAACATTTCTAATGTAATTTTCATTCCTACCATATCGATATATATATATATATTTGAAACACTCAAAAATAATTAGTCTATCATATTTAATTCAATATATTCGAAATTACTTGGTAGGTGCCCGACGTGTAACTTGACTTCACATCCCGAATAAAAATACTTTAGTAAAACCATTCCATTATAAGAACAATTTTTTACCATAAATATTTTTATTTAATCCGTTAATTAATCGGAACGTAGCAATGATATACCTGATTTTATTTAGATTAGCGTTTTAGATAGTTTTAATTTTTACCTAATATTTAGTATTTATCTGATTTTATTTGGATTAGCGTTTAGATGGTCTTTAATTTTTCCCTAATATTTAGTACTTGTAATCGATTTTGCGTTTAGTCAATTTTCGATTTATATATAAACTGTATACTTTTATATCGATATACTGTATATATTTGTATATATATAATAACTAATCATAATGAAAGTCTGAACGTATTGTAAATCATTTGAAGATGAAATCGGCTTTGTATTTGGTCAAAAATAAGCTACGTATTCCAATTCGTTGATCTTTATTTTTGCGTAATATTTTTATCATCAAAATTTTAAATTATATGGAATAAATTAAATTATTTATTAAAAAAAAAATTAAAATTTTGATATTTGAAATTATGAATTATTTAATTTGAGATAAGTCTATTTGTTATGTGTTTATTTGTAATACAGTAGCTTACTTAGTATAACTATAACTTTAATTATTATTAAGGTAGTTACCAAAGTATTACATGTAATAGCTATTAAAAATAAATATATATATAATAAAAAACTAATTTCGTATATAATGTTTTAATTAGCATTAGTAATTAATTCTAAAATATAGTTTTATATATATATCTATATATATATATATATATCTATATATATATATATATATCTATATATATATATATATATCTATATATATATATATAACCAATAGTACATAGTTTATTGTATACAGTATATAATACTGTATAGTACTGTATATTTAATAATACAAATTATACAAGCTGCAAGAAAAAAAGTCAAAGAATTAAGTAAATTATACAAAAAATACAAACTCAATCTAATGTGGTTAATAAAAGATCTAGACAAGTCTTAATTAAAGACAAGTTTAAAGAGATAGAAGAACATATAAAAGAAGAAACAAGTATAAACCTGTTATTTTTGTCTGAAAAGTTACAAAGCTGGCTTATACTATAATAAAAACTTGCTTATAGTATCTAGAATAATAAAAGAAAATTATAAAAAAATTAGAGATTAAAAGAAAAATCAAAGAAAAAGAAAAAATAATAGTAACTAATCTCAAGAGAATGTTTAATAGCTTATTAAATAGAACTAGAAATAGTATAAAGTTAAACAAAATAATAGAAAAAAAGAAAGAATATTATACTTAATAAATAAAGAAGAAAACTTTTTCCAACAATTACTTGTACCAAAAAACACAACAAACTTTTTTTTTAAAAAACAATAAACTATAGTAATAAAAAGTAATATAAGACTAATAAAATCTATAAACTAGTACCTGTTATTTAGAGATAATTCTCATATGCTATCTGCTAACAGACTTAAAGCTTATTACTTACTGTGGAGATGGCACTTGTTATTTAAAAGTAGTTCTTATATACTACTTGCTAACAAGTTCAAAGTTTATCACCTACCAACAAGAAAGTTAGCAGTTAATCTAGCTCTATATGTTTTACTACTTTTGAAAAAATATATATATTCTTTAAAGAAGAATACAAGAGCTATTTTCTATATTATCACCCACTTGCTCCTCCTATAAAATTTTTATAAAAAATAGACAAAACAGCTTACTTTTGTTAAAAGATCAGCATTGTTTACTTTTTTCAAATTTGAATAACCTAATAGATTGCAACTATGTGTTTGTTTATAGTTATATTCTATAAATAGTGCTACTGACAGAAGATCAGTATGTAAATCTTAATTGTTTTCAAAGTTTTGATCATATGTCAAAAAGAACTTTTATATTAAGAAATTACCTTACAATAAGGATATGCTAATGTTGTATTAGATATATAATTTTTTAGTCTTATACACAGGCTTAATAGTATATATTTGTTAGGTTTTTGTTTTTTTCTATTTTGTTTTGCTTATCTCATTTTTAGTTTTTTTACTTTTTTCATCTTTTTTTATTTATAATCAAATTTAATTTAGTATACCTCTTCTTATTTTTTTTTGTTTTTTATTTTTTCTTTTTTGTTTTTGTTTTCTTCTTTTTTTAAATTTGTAGCTTTTTTTATAAATTTGGCACTTATTTTTTTCTCTTATAAAAATATAAAAGATAAACTATTCTGCCTGGATTTAGATAGAAAAAGTTTTAAAAGCCAAAGGTAGTTAAGTACTATGCTATAGCAAATTTTTAAATATATGTAGCAGCATATATGGAATTTATTAGCAAATATCAGTGTAATAACCATATTTAAGCACTTTTAGAGCAGCTAGGTACCGTATTGCTAAATATGTAATTAGATAGCTTAATGTATAAACTTGTATACATCTAATAAATTTGTGCATAGTTATCAAAGTTAAAAAAAAATAAATAAAAAATAAATAAAGAAGGTAAAGTTAGAAAGGTTATATATAAACACTTTGAGAATTAGTTTACAAAAAGCAATATAAATCTAGAACAAATAAACAATTTTTGAAAAAAGCAATATAGCTCTCTAGAATACATAAATACAAAATACTGTAATATAAAGAGTTATTTAATAAAATCTCTAATAAGAAATAGTATATAGTTTTTAAAAAAACAAAAAATAACCTAGCTTTTAGCACCTTTGAGATAACATACTTTTTAATTAAAAATGCAAGACTTAAAGCAAGAGAGTGCTTTAGAGATTTTGCTTTACAATATCTAAAAGAAGAGAAAATTTTAAGAATGCAAAAAAAAAGTATTTTATATCTTATTTCTAAAAAAAAAAAAATAAAATTATAATCTTCTAAATATCAAATCTATTATGCTATTAAAAATATTTTAAAAATTAATAGTAAAAATTTTGAATATAAGACTAAGCAAAATTTGTTGCAAAAAAGCAGTTTTAAAAGAGTTTAATTTTGTCAAGCTACTAGAAAAATATATAAATATTTTAATTCATGTTCTGATATATACTATAGAAGAGGTAAAAAAAAAAAGAAAAAAAAACTTTAAATTCTGTTTCAAGATATAAAAAAGGCTTTTAACTCTGTAAATATAAAAATATTAGACTTTGCAATATAGAGAATCAAGTTACCAAAAAAAATTAAAAGATTTATACTAAATTTGTTTAAGAACAGAAAAATCAAAATAATTACAGCCTTTAATAATACAAAAGAATTTATAGCTAAAGATAAAATTAATTAAGAAAAGATTATTTCATTGCTAGTTTGGTATATTTTCTATTACCTCCTACTAAGAGCTATTTAAGAAGCAATAAAAACAGAGTATTAAATAGATTTGGAATAGCTAATTAATCTAACTACAAATAGAACTAAAAAAAAATAGCTAGTAATAAACAACAATTGTATATGCTAATAATATCATATAAGTAGTTAAATTAAAAAAAATATAAATATATATGATTTTTGTTTTTGCAAATAAGTTATATTAAATAAATAATATTAGTATTAATAAGAAAAATCTAAACTAATTATATTTAACAAAAAGAAAAAAGAAGATATAAAAAATAATATTAGAGTAAACAATGAAATAATTAAAAATCAAAAAATAAAATAAGTAATAATTTTTATTAAAGACAATATTTTGAATAAAATTAAATAAATTTGTTTTATCTAAAGTAATCAACTTTTATTTGATCACTAGAAAACACAACTCTTTTTGCTAATCCTCAAAACCAAAATCGAAGCAAAAGAAAATCTGAATTTAGAGCATTTTCTAATAAAATAATTGTGAAAACAATATTTAAAAAAAAGAAAGAGCAATAAAAACTAAACAAAGTTGCTTAGAAAAGTTTTGTTTAATATAAGCTTGAACTTGCACTATAAAGGAAAAAGTAAATTTTCAGAAAAACTTTTAGAAAATTTGAGAATTTGCTCTTCACCCTATACTGCAGATCTCCCAACATCAAACAAACAAACACGTATAAACAAAATAAACAAACAAACAAACAAACACGTATAAATGAAATAAACAAACAAACAAACAACAAGCACGCATACTATTATAGCAAGACAAATAAACAAATATCTGCTAAATATTACACATAAGTAAACAAATGTATATCGAGGCAACAATATAGTATTTTCTAGAAAAAACAAAGTGAAAATAATTCAACATTCACAATACAAAACAAAATTCAAAATTTAAAAGCATAAAAGCAGAGCTACTTAAAGATTTTGCAACAGCTTCACAAAGTAAACAACAAGAAATATACAATAAACTAAGCCTTTTCACACTATTAATGGATAGAAATATAGCAAAATATCTTGGATACAAAAATCTAGAGTTTATAACTGCAATGTGCACAGTGATAAATAGTTATAAATAGATAGAAATTAAAAAAGACAAAGACAAAGAGCTTTTAATAGAGAAGCATTTATTAGTAGGAAATGTAACTAAGATTATAACAAAAAAGAGTAGCAGAACTCCAAGATAAACAAGAGAATAATACAAATATAGTTATTGATATAGTGAAAAACTATAAAAGAAAGAGAAATAAAGAAGATATTATGGAGAACAGTATTATTAAAAAGAAAGAAGAATCTGTTAGGATTAGACTAGCAGAAATGAATCTCAATGAAAGTAAAGTAGCTATACTAAAAGAAGATGAATCGACAAATGCTAAAGAAAAGGCAATATTATTATATACCGAATATGGACAAATAGACTATAGTATACAGGTAGTTCAAGACTGGGTTTTGTTAACAAAGAAACAAGGAAAAATAAAGGATCTGTATAATAATAAAACAAAGAAGACAAATACTGAAATAAAAGATATATACAGCTCTATATGGGCTCTAGAAAATATCACAATACAAACTAACTTAAAAATAATAACCAAAGTAGGCTTAGCAAAGAGAATTAAAGATCTGAATCTTTATTTGACTATTTGGAACCTTCCAATCTCAACAAATATCCCAAGAGTTGTAAAATATCTGAAATATTATAGCAAAACAGAGGTGTTAAAATAGCGAAATCAAAATAAATCTAGAGCAGCAAATATCAAAATCAAATGCAAAAGTAAGAAGCAAAAACAAAAGCTACAAAATACGTAAGCAATTCCTTTTAAAGAAGGGAAAACCAATAGAATTACAGAAGATAGTTTCGATATAAAAGAACTAATTTAAGAAAAAAATTTAGATTAAAATTAGAAAAAGTACCACGCAGAGTATCTGAAGCATTACTTCTTCGACAACTCTCAAGCTTTAAAGCTAAAATGATCTGCATTCCAAAAAGTAGCTATGCCAAACAAATGAGTATTGCTTACATATATTTTACTTCATTAGAAGATTTGCTAAAAGCAAAAACAGTAGTTCTAAAATATTATGATAATAAACTAGAATGAGAAAAAAATAAAAGGTTTGATACAATAAGCTGGAACAAAGAAAATAATGATAGATTAAATTTATTTTACAAAACTAGAAATAGATACAGTATTTTCTTTATCTGGCAAAAGAAGTATTACAAAAAAAATCTTAAAGGAAAAAACATAAAAAGATATAATAGTGATAGTGAACAAGAAAGCAAATTAGATAGTAGAGCAAATAGTACTTCTAGATTGCGTAGTAATACAAGAAAACCACTTAATAGAGTAGATAACCTTACTATAGTTAGTTAGAGATGATAAAGATATCCAGTTGTAACAGGTTCAAATAGAGAAGAACTAGGTTGGAAAAAAGGAAAAAAAGCAAAATTAAACAAAGAAAATGAGATGGAAAAAATTCTAGCAGAAATGCAAAAAAAATTTAGAACAATAAAGCAATTACTTGCTAATCACTTTTAAATTTCACCCCAGTTGAATTACAGATAAAAGAGTTGAAAGATATCCTAGAAAAGGAGTATACTCAGAAAGTTATAATAAAAGAGAGGCCTAAACAACCAAATCTAATACAATGTAATATTAATGAAGAAGCAAGTAATAACAAACTTATATCATACAGACAATAATAGAGAGAGTTTAGAAGTATTAAATATTGGGTTCCATAATATAAATAGGATTAAGACAAATAAAAATAGAGTAGAGCTGATGCTAGATTTTATGAAAAGAAAAGATATAAACATTATGAGACTAGGAGAAACAAATATATCTAAACGAGATGGAAAATTTTTATTAAGCAAAAATAATAGATACAAAAGATATTAGGTTTTAGCTAATAAATCCAAGCATAAAGGCTCAGGTGTAGGAATTATTATAAAGAAAAACTGGAAAAAGCATGTCTCGAAGATTGAAACTATTAACTCATATATACTGTAATTAAAGCTTGATTTTAAGAGACTAAGATTACATATAATCATAATATATGTAGTACCAAATAACAAAAAGATACAAAATAAAATCTATGAGTACCTATATAAAGAATTGGGCCAATCTAAATGAAAACAAAGCATCTACATAGTAATGGATGACTTCAATACAGAATATAAAGAAAACATTAAGGACTTTAATAAAGAAAAGGAAACATTAAAAACAAAGTCCAATAAAAAGAAGCAAATACTAACTTTGCTAAGAAAGAAAAACTTTAGAGATGCTTTTGAGATAGCAAACTCAGAAAAACATATAACAACATGGTTAGGAAGAGGATCTGAGATAAAAATTGATTATATTTGGGTTTTGAAAGGCTAGGAGAAAAATATTTTAACAGATAAAGCCTATAAAGCAGACCAAATAATAGCAAGTAATTACAAATTGCTATATGTTACGATAGAAACAGGACTCCAAGAAAAAAAATTCTTGCTAGCCAGACTAAGAAAATTAGACAAAAAGAAAATTAGTGTAGACCTTGATAAAGTTACAGAAGAAGATTGGTTAAAATACAAGAATATTTTAAAAAAAGAGATTAACAATAGACTAAGAAAAAAGAGTAAAAAAGTAAAGTATAATAGAGATCTGAAATCTAAAAAAGAACCATAGCAAGATCTATCAAACCTAGATAAAGCCTGGGAAAAGATTCTAAAGTGTATCCAAATAGCAGCAGGGTCAGCACTACCTAAAAAGAAAACTATACCATCACTTTTAGAAGTACAATTTTATGACAGAGAGCTAGCAAAAATTAAAAAAGAGATTAGAATAACAGAAAATTGGTGTTGCAAACTCAAAAAAACTTGTAGCTATATAAATGAAAAAGGAAAAGAGAAATTTCTAGCAGTTCAAACTTTAGCAAAAAATTGGTTAACATATCTAGAAGTAGAGTATAAAAAGGTTAATATAGAAGAAGATTTAATAATCAGTGAAGAAAAAAGTAAACAAGAGAATGAAGAAATGATAACAAACAAAAAAAATAATAATAATAAAACTAAAAAAAAACTCAAAATCTGGTAGAAGATTCTGTACAAAGCATGGCAAATTAGCAAGAATAAGGCAGAAGAAAAAATAATACAAGAGCAGATTCAAAAACGATATGCAATAATAGTAAATGATTAAAAGAAAATGATAAATAGTTTATTAGAAAGGCTATTCAATAAGCTATATCTAGACAGAGTCTTAGTAGAGCTTGAGAATGACAAAGAAGAACTTGTATATAAACTACAAGAAGTTCTAAAAACAGTAAAAACTTACTTCCAGAAACAGTTCCGCAAACAAGAGTCAAAAGCAAATAGTCTATTTCTGTTTTAAAAAAAAGAGTATGAACCACTAGATGAAATATAAGAAGAATAGTATCAAGAGATTATGAAAGAAATTACGATAGAAGAGTGGGATCAAGCTTTAAGCCAAATCAAAAATAGCTTTGCACTAGGGATCACATACCCTTTGCTCAAAAATATAGAAAAAAAATAAAAGTTCTTTGTACCAAGTTCGCTTCAGAATGTATAAAAAAAGGCAAAATCTCCAAGAAGTAGAAAATAGGGATGCTTTATCCTATACCAAAACGAGAAGAATGGGGCTATAAGCTAAATAATGTTAGACCAATTCTGCTACAAGAAACATTTAGAAAAACAGTAGTAAGAATTTTGAATAACAGACTTAGTAAAGTGCTAAAAACAAAAGAAATATTAAAAGAATATAATTTTGCGAAGTTACCAGAAGAAGGAACAGTAGCACCAATTCATCTTATTAACTGTATTTTAGAAGATGTAAAAAAAAAGCAGAAAGAAATTTGGCTTTTCTTTTAAGACATAAAAAAAGCATTTGACTCTGTTAGCCTAAAAATATTAAACCTAGCTTTACAATGAATCAAACTTTCAAAGACAATTAGAAGCTTCATTATAAACCTTTATGAGAAAAGGAAGATGCAAGTAATTATAAAGTATGGCCTGACAGAGACTTTCACTGCTCAAGATGGTATAGACCAAGGCAAGGTGATATCTCCTTTAGTCTGGAGAATATTCTATAATCCTCTGTTAGTAGCAATACAAAGCTGCAAAGAGGCAGGTTACAAAATGCAAATAGAATAGCCAACAGATATAAGACTAAACCAATTGGAAAGCATAAGCATAAAGTTCAAGGTACTTGCTTATGCAGATGATACCACATATATAGCTAGCTTCAAAAAGGAATTAGAAAGTATTCTAAAAATAGCATAACAATTTTATAAAATAAATGATATAGAAATTAACAATAAAAAATCAGAGCTAGTGGTATTAAACAAAAATAAGAATGAAACAAACTATATAGAAGTGAATCAAGGAAAGGAAAAAATACAGATAAAAAAAGACAATAAGAGTACAAGGTTTCTAGATATCTGGCTTTTAACAAAAAAAGAAAAAAAAGCAATTATAAACATGATTAAAAAGAGGTAGATATGATAGTTAATATTCTAAAGAAAAAAAAAGTTTCACTAGCCACATGGTATATATGAACAACAAGGTATTATTACCAAGAGTAGAGTACAAGTTATTATGTTATATTTTTTCATGTACCTTTTATAACAAACTACAAAGCCCTATCTTTAAGCTGACAAAAAACAAAGCCAATATGGCAAGCATGACCTCAAATGCAGTACTGATACACAAAAATATAGTTGGATTAAAGTTGATATAGCAAAACCAGGTAGCATACCATATGACAAAACTTAATGTACGCCTGAGCAGTTATAATGAATTAGAGCAAGCAACATGGATGAGAGTAAAGCAAGCACAACTAGATTGCAAAAGTAAAAAATGTATTTTAGGTTTAGATAAAGAAAGATTAAATAAAATAGAAATTAAGAACAATCTGGCATATAAGATATTAAAAGAAGCAAGCAATATAGAAATAAGTATAAAAGCTACAGAACTAGAAGAAACATGTACTCTAGAGAAGAAAGGAACAGATTTGGTTTTGGTAGATTTGCTTGACAAAAAAAATGCAAACAGCTTCTGCAAAGGAAAAAAGATAAATATCTTTATACTCAAACAAATTATAGATTCAAGCTATTAGAATGGGGGCAAATAAAAAGAATTAGGAGAGTTTAAGCAGCAGGCAAAAAACCAAATTGGTTCAAAAATATTGAAAAGCGAGTTCTAAAAAACTATAAACAAAGATTGATAAAAGAAGAATATCATACAAACTTTGCAGAGAGCCTAGAGATTAAAACATATCTTCAAGAAATTAGTTCAGATAGGTGCATAAAAGATTAGATTCTTCTCGAGAGTAAAAATGGTAATCTAAACATAGGAAGAATTGTTAAAAAAAAGAAGAACAAAAACATTTTTGAAATTGAGCATTGAAAAGAAAAACAAGATCTAGAAAAAGATAAAACAATTCTAATACAGTGTAGAGATTGTATAGCAGAATCTGATTAGCAAATATGTCACTTTTGGAGAAAATTTAAAAATACTAGACAGGTGATTCAAAAAAATATATTAGAAAAAGTAACTCTAGAAGATGAAAACACATGGGAAATCAAGATACCAAAAAGCTCATTAATATACAAAAATAGTGTACAAGAAACCTTGAAAAATGCTTAAGAAAGCTGCTACGAAAATATAGAAATTTGAATAATAAAAGAAGAATTAATAGAGAATAGCTTTGAAGGAGATGAAGCAAAAGAAAAATTAAAAGAAAAAGCCAACTTACTACGTGATGAAGAAGAAATAATATTTTATACAGATAGCTTTTGGTTGAACCTAAAAGATTCCAAAACAAAGCTAAGCTGGAAGCAGGTTGGATAGCTTTAAAAGAAACAGAAAAAAGAAAAAGACAACTAGCTAAGTTCTGATATTCATTATCAAACTGGCTCTCTTCAACAAGAGCAGAGCTAGGAGCTATAATAACAGCTCTAGTAGTAGTTTCAAAAAAGGCAAAAATCACTATATTAACAGATAGTGCAGCAGCAATCTAGGCAATTAAAAAGAGTAAAAATCTTAGTAAGCTAAGAGAAAGTATGAAGATTAAGAATAAAAATATACTTTTGCATTTTCAAAAACTTAAAAGTAGTAAAAAACTAGATATTAAAATTAAAAAAATAAAAGGATATAGCAATATTCTAGAAAATGAAATTGCAGACCAACTAGCAAAAGAAGGAGCTGAAAAAGGTCCAAAACTTGATTTTCAGGAGATCTGGGAAAGGTTAAATAAAGTGACAACATGTTGGAAAAATATAAAAATAGATAACCCAGTTAGAAACAGTATTGACAAAATAGTGTTAGTATTTTTAAATATAGAATGGGCCAATCTGAAAAGTAACCAAACATGGTTAGAACAAGAAAAAAAAGAGGAATCAATAGAATGGAAAGAAACATGGAAAGATATAAATAGATTTAAAGGAGGTAATTGTACTAGTACTAAAAGAAATAGGGATTAGATTTTGAGGATAAAATGCCTAAATGAGATACTACTGACAATAGACAAGCTAAACAGAAGGTACTCAAAGTTATACAAAACCAATACATGTATAGCATGTGTAGAAGAATCAGAAATACAAGATCATCTGGCAACATGTGCAATCTACCAAGATATTTGAAGAAGGCTAGAAGAAGAGATATGTGAAGAAATTCAAAAGAAAACCCACTCTGATAAAGATTAGCAAAGATTAACGATAGAAGAGGTCAAAAAGCAAATCTTTGGCAAAATATTTCTGGAAAAAACAAAGTTCAGAAAAGAACTAATCAAAGGCCTTCTAACAAAAAGAAAGAAGAAAAATGTTAAGAAGCTTCTACAAAGCCATAAAAAGAAAAAGGAACTACCAAAGATATTAATCAGCAGTTTCAAAGAAAAGTTTCAAGAATATATATAGAAATTCAGATACAAAAATATAAATAAATGGGAGAAGAAACACAACATATTAAAAGAGAACAAAAGGGCTACACTATCAAAAAAAAAGAAGAGCAAGATGTCGCCAAATCAAGAAAACCAAGAACCAAAAGAACACAACAGCAAAGTCAATATATGCTGAAGCAAGATTTCATCAAGTAAAAAAAGAAAAAAAAAAGAAACTAATAAATGCAATAAAGAAGAAACAAAAGTACCAGAAAATGAAAATAAAGAAAAGATAAAGAAGTGAGTAGCAAAAAATATTTAAAATTAGATATCTTTGAACAATAAACCAGTTTGGTCCTTCTAAATCAAACCAAAAGATAAATAGGTGATTCGGACATAGCAATACGATAGCCAATCTTATTTTCTAGGAATCCAAGTTTTTAGAGTATTTGAGAACCCTAGAAAAGATAAACAATCGTAATAGCAGATCACACCTGGATATCTTG